TTGCCCGATTTCAATGAAATTTTCAGGGGTGATTGGGGTCTGTGTGGAGGGTGCACTTAAAATGAAATTTTCAGAAGTGATTGGGGTCTGTGTGGAGGGTGCACATAAGAAATTTAATGTGTGTATCATTGCACGTTTTGCAATTAATTCTGTTTGGCTTTACGTGTTTTTTTGGATTTTTATTATTGTTTTGCCGCAAGATTGGCAGTCCTGCCTTTTAATAATAAATAAACAGAAACAGCTGGCGAATGTTTACAATTATTAAAAAACATTGACAACAATTTAATTTATAATCTTATAACTGGAGTCTACTATCGCACCCTTTCCTCAAACGTGTATTAATTCAATATTCAAATAACGTATATTTATATAATTTGAAAAAATCTTCGCTGCGCCTTAAAAGTAATTTTGTTTTGTTACTTCCTCTCACAACATTTGAAAATATTAGTTAATATTGCTGTACATATTTGTATAGTAGGGAGATTTTTTCAAATTATATAAATATACGTTATTTGAATATTGAATCAATACACGTTTGAGGAAAGGGTGCGATAGTAGACTCCAGTTATAAGATTATTAATTAAATTTCCAAGAGAAAGTCGGTTCTTTACATATTTTCTAATTACCTTCGAAAATATATTAACTCAAAAAAAAAAAAATAAACAATGCTTCATAGATCGATTTTTTTTTAATCTAACTTCATAAAGTTCTTTAAAAATATTTTGTAAATGAGGCCATAAGAGCTTAGGGGGAGAGTTACAACACAAAAATACATTTAAGGTGCAGCGAAGCACGCCGGGTAATTGCTAGTCTATGATTAGAATGTATTTCTTTGAAGTATTTTTCCCACACTTTTTAACAGCAAAGTATATTCAAAAGTATTGGCGCACTTTACACAATGAGAACGGTTTTGTGGATCTGGCAGGAGGTTTCCACCCGAATTTTCGAGTAGTTTTAAACATAGGACTTCCTGGTGATTATAATAGCGTAAATAGTCCTGTTTTAATCGCCACTTTAATCTCGTCTGTTACCAACTTCCACCTCCCTAACAGTCTAGTGATTTTTTTTTTGGGTTTTGGGGTGAGTATCAACTCTGATATTCCAAATAACCAGGCTGGTTAATGTTTTTTTTTAGCCATACAAATTCAGGGAGTGCCAAAGCCACCACTAGAGAGCCGCCACCAGACTTTCAGTTGGTTTATTATGACGTCACAACGGGCTCATCATAAAAGTTCTAGCCTTATTATAAATGGTGTAAGGAGAACGTTGCTAGCTCTTGGACTATTGCTTGTTAGAACTTTTAGCCTTACAAAAACGTTCATTTTAATAATTTTAGGTATAGTTGTTTAGGTAAGGCTAGATGGGCTAGTTCACTCGGATGCCAGGCAGGCTTTTTGTGATGTCCAGGAGACGTTTTACCAACCATCCAGATTTTCTGCCGAATTCTAGTTGACCGATCAGCCAAGTTTACTCTAGGCTATTTAAGTTTTCGAAGAAATACTCCCCCCAGAGTGCAGGGAACTTGCATAGGAAGCGTTGGATAAATTAAATCTCTTCTTCATTTATGCAGCTTTTATTGCTATGAGGGGCGGTCATGTGTATTCCGGTGAGAGAGCAGACTCTGTCCAGCATGACCGCGTTAATTGTTCGCAAACTGTTAAGGTCCTTTCCGCTCTTAGGCGGTTAGGTTATTTCCTTCCATTTACGGGTATGAAAAAATAAATAAAAAAAATCCTATATATGTAAATCTCCTCAAATACCGGACGCACCCTGTAGGTATTTATGTATATATTAGTATGTAAATTGAAGCCTCAGCTTACAATTGAATTGACACCAAGCTCCCAATGAGCTGGGCCATGCAATAAACAGAAATATTTTATTTGCCATAAATAACGCAAACAAAACATACTACAACAGTTCGAATAAAAAATAGATGGTCGAAACTCAAGTGTGCAAGTGTAAGAAGAAAATTCATGTACATTAGACTGGATCACTCCCCATACAAAAAAAAATATCGGTACTGTGTTTAGATTGGAATTATAAAATCTATTATATTTTAAGACTCGCACCAAAATATTTCGGAAATATATTAAGATTTATGTAAGCTAGAGCGATTTGAAGATACCTCCAAAAATGGAGTTTTTTATGAATAAAAATAGTTTTTAAAGTTTTTTTTTTTAAAACCTCTCAAATGACAAAACAGTCAAAGCTTAAAAACTACATAAAAATATTTTAAAAAAAGTTTTAACGGAATCGTAATAGTGATGTTTTTGATGCTGTTTTTTTTTTAACTTTTTTCAAAGATTGGTATAAGAAAAACTTGAATAACTGGACCAAAACTATTCCGATTTAGACTTATGAAGTATCGTTGGAAAGGTATTTTCCCACCATTTTTTCTTCTTTGCAAATAAACTCATTCAAAGTATGAAAGAGAAAGCTAGGATGAACGAGCCTCAGTCCAAGTTGAATTAAGATGTGTTGGTATAAGAAAAAAAAATTGGAACGTAAAGTGTTTTTTTTTTTCGCAAAGAAAGTACCTTCCCAGTGATAAATCGGAATAGTATTGGCCCAGTTACTCAAGATTTTCTTAAATCAATCTTTTAAAAAAGTTAAAAAACAGCATCCAAAATCTTATTACGATTTCATAAAAAACGTTTAGTATTTTTATGCAGATTTTTCAAGCTTAAACTGGTTTGTCATCTGAGGGAATTTTTTTTTTAATTTTTAACCGACTTCCAAAAAAGGAGGAGGTTATCAGTTCGTCGGAATATAATTATTTTTTTTTTTTACGTATGTATGTTACCGCATAACTTTGAACCACGTCAACCGATTTCGATAATTCTTTTTGCATCGGAAAAGTAGTGTCTCAGAGGTGGTCCCGTACTAATCTGGTTAAGATCCGATCAGTGGACTTGTATATTACTATTATTCATAAAAAACTCCATTTTTGGCGGTATTTTCAAATCGGTCCAGTTCACGCGAATCTTAATGTTTTTCCGGAAATATTTTGGTGGATGTCTTCAAATATAATAAATTTTGTATTTCCGGCGGAAAAACCGCAACTTCTTTTTTTGCGATTCAGTCTAATGTGGCTACATACATACATAGATACTATGTAGTATCTAAACACACTGATTTTTTGTTCATTTTTTATTTATTTTGTTTT